CTGGCAAGAATTTCCAGCCTGCTCATTTTGATGGTCCATCATATGGATTTTCTCTCTCTCTCTCTCTCTCTCTCTCTCTCTCTCTCTCTCTCTCTGTCTTTCTCTCTCTCTCCCTCCCTCCCTTCCCGCCTCTCTTATCATTTCTCTTTTCTTAGTTAGGGTATCTATTGCTGTGATAAAACACCATGACCAAAGACAATTTGGGGAATAAAGGGCTTATTTCATCTTACAACTTTCAGATAATACTCCATATCACTGAGGGAAGTCAGAGCAGGAACTCAAGGCAGGAATCTGAAGGCAAGAAATGAAGCAGAAGCCATGGAGGAATTCTGCTTACTAGCATGCTCAGTTGGCTTTCTTATATAACTCAGGACTAACTACCCAGAGTTGACACCATCCAAACTTGCCTCTAAGTAAATTTTATGGAGCCTTTTTCTAATTGAGAGTTCCTCTTCACAAAATATATAGCTTAATTTGGTGGTGGTGGTGCACGCCTTTAATCCCAGCACTCAGGAGGCAGAGGCAGGCAGATCTCTGTGAGTTCGAGGCCAGCCTGGGCTGCAGAGTGAGTCCCAGGACAGGCGCAAAGCTACACAGAGAACCTGCTTGAAAAACCAAATAGCTTGTGTCACACTGACATAAAAGTAGCCAACACAATCCTAATGATCCAACTTTGTAGACAGATCTTTGATAAGTTGCTTTAGCAGTTGTAATATTCCAGCTGCAGCCCAGCTCTTGTCACATCCACTGTGTGCCTTACTCATTGTGCTCATGCTAAAATTGCTCTGCCACACCTGTCAGGTGGAAACAACTCTCTTCCTATTTTGATTTTGGAAATCCTATCTCAGATGAGTGACTTACTCATCTCTGAATCTCTACAATTTTCCATAAGTGTCATGTGAATGGCAGAGAACATGGTATGTACTGGTTAGTTTCTGTTGACTTGACATAAACTAGTCACCTGGGAGGAGCATGCCACAATGAAGAATCACCTCAAAGAGACTGGCTTCTGGGCTTGTCTGCATTACATTTTCATGATTAATGATTGATATAGGAGGGTTCAACTCACTGTGGTCAATGCCAGATGTAGGCAGATGGATCTGAGTAGTATAAGAGAGCAAACTGAGAACAGGGAACAAGCCAGCCAGTCAGTATTCCTCCATGGTCTGTTGCCTCTTGGTTCCTGCTGTGATTCCATGCCCTGGCTTTACTTGATGATGGGCTGAAACCCACTAGACAAATAACCCCTTTCCTTCCCAAGTTGTTTTTGATCGGTGTTTTACCACAGCAATAGAAACCCAACAAGGACATGTTGTGACCTTTATGGTGGCTCTTGTGCTTCCTTATGATATAGACTCCATGCAAATATAAGCTATCTTCTTTAGAGCTCTGGAATATAACAACATTCAGTAAAGCCTTAATAAACAATGCCTTATATATAATAGGCATTTAAATAATGAATGCATAACGTGGTATTGTCACATTCAGTTTTTAAAAACACATAACTTTAAAATCAAACAGACCTCAGTTTCTCCAGCTGTCTCCCTCTTACTATCTTTGTGACAATAGACAAACTGTGCAGTGCCTAAAAAACCATTTGTTTTCTAACATATAGAGTGATGATAATGTTGTTATTATATAATGTATATAATATAATAATATAATATAATATAATATAATATAATATAATATAATATAATATAATATAATATAATATAATATAATATAATATATAATGTTGTTCTTATATAATATTTTATACAAGGCCATCATAAGCATCAATAATAACAGAAGTCATATAGACTACACCAGTACCATAAGTCTCCAGTGTCTATTAGGGTGGAACAAAATAAACTTCAGTGATAATGTTCTGTATTGATACATCAATCATTTATAATAAAAATCTACTATGAGACTGTCACTTTTGAAAGTTTTGCAAAAAATAATATGTGATAATGGTCGCTAATATTTACTGGGTAGTTAGTTATTTTATGTCACATGTTGTTTCAAACTTCATCTACCTTCTTTATATTTAAAACAACTCATGTCAGAAATTGCTATTAGTTGACTTCCTTATTCATGGATACACAGTCCAGATAAAGAAAAATTAAGAAGTTTGCCCAGTTATATACAAAGTGATATCAAAAGCTAAACTTTTCAGTTAGGATATGGCCCAAGGCAAAGTTCCATGTTTGGTAATCCTCCATGCTGTAATCCAGTTCTACCTCCTGTGAGCACAGGCTGACTTCTCATATGATATATGGTCTAACAAGAAGAGGGCACATCTTTAAAACAGATCCACTGAAAAGACGAAGGACCGCAGAGAAAAAACTGAGTGTTCTTCAGATTGCTGCAATGCTCCTTGGTAGACACGTAATATACATCCTCACAGATGAGGTAAAATAAAACAGACGAAACCAACCTTCTTTCCCATAATAAGCCAGATGAAGAACAAGAGCAGTGCTCTATAAATGCCCGTAATTACACCTAGCATTTATGCATTTATTAAACAGAGTCCATGTGTTAGGCACTGTTAAAAACCCTTACGGTTTGATGCTGGCCTCTGTGTGGGAAGTGCTCTGTAATTTTTCATTAGTGTCAGTGATTTTACAGTTATCGCCTGGTACAGCACAAGCAACTTAACCCTGTCTACGCAGAGATCTCCATTGTCCCATTAACCCTGCAGTACTGAAGTAAAAGGTAGTCCTAATTAGAATAGAGCCTCCCAATACTAACAAACCAGAGTTTCAATACGATGCATTTTAATTACACAAAATGAAATCGCCTTGATAGTTTCACCTAAAGGATACAATTGTACTAGGACTGTCACAGTCTGACTGCGCATCTTAAAATAACGACAGCTGTCTAGAGTGATGTTTCCTTATATATCACATGCTGTTTATGATAAATGCTTGGTAAGATAAGTAATAAATTTTTTCTGGTTTGATAACTTTCCATGATAAGCGGCAGCAATCAGCCTCCATGCCAACTTTATAGGGAAATTAATAAACATACAGTGATTTCAAGAATATTTCTGTGGTGATATATTGTGTCCCCCGAAATATTGTGCACCCTAATAAAGCTTATCTGAGGATCAGAAGAAAAAGCCAGCCACTATAGTAAACACAGAAGTCAGGCAATGGTAGCACACGCCTTTAATACTAGCATTTGGGAGGCAGAGATCCATCCGGATCTCTGTGAGTTCAAGGCCACCCTGGGAACAGAGCCAGGCATTATGGCACATGCCTTTAATCTCAACACTAACCATGGAGGTCTGGAGGTCTGTACAGACAGACAGGAAGTCATGTAGCTGGGCAGAGAGATGAAGTGAAATGCAGAACAGAAAGGCATATAGGCATGAATATACAGGAAGTAGGTCTCTTTGGAGTTGGTGAGGTGAGGTTAGCTGTGGCTTGTCCTATTCCTCTGAACTCTCAGTTTTTACCCCAATATCTGGCTCCAGGTTTTTTATTAATAAGAACGTTTAGCAATTCATGTTACATATTTCTGTTGCATAGGAAGTATTAGAGTACAGCGAGAAATCCACAGAGTTTGGTTAATGGGCAAAGGAATTTATTGGAGGGAAAAACTCACTGTGCAGAACACAATAGTCACAGGTTCTGGAACACTGTTCTGGCTGCCTGATTCATTCCCATATCCAAAACCACAAGGCAAAGACGAGAGCACTTACTGGCATCTCAGGTCTTAGGGTTGCCCAGAGGCCACACCCAGGGCATGTACCTCAAGGTCACAGGCAGGTAGAGCAGTCACCTGCTGCCTCTCTAGGGGTGGTGCTTCACGGTCATAGACAGAACAGCTTTCCATTACTTTAGAACTTTTTTTTTTTTTTTTGAAATCACATTTTTTTTTCTGTCCCTAACAAATCTTGGTGCTGAGTAACACATTCTGGGGTAATTTCTTCCTTGGACCTTTTATATGCTTCTTCCTGTCATCATGGACATGAACCAGCACTGTTGAGGATTCTCATTAAGCACAGCTGATTTTCTGCTCAATGATTTTTTTCATTTTTCTACAATAATCCTTGAGTCTATGCTTACTGTATCACAGAGTATAGTTTATTAACCTATAAACCCTTAAGTTCTCTTTGAAATATTAAAAGTCCCTACTTCCTCCGGGTTGTCTTCAAAGCTCAGCAGGATAAGCTTGCCTTAACGCCATACTTAAAATCTCAGATACCACATTTGTTTCTGTTTCTTCAAAATTTTGACTCAGATTTCTATGAAAACAAGGTCAAATCTTTTGCTAATTACAAAGTCTCATTCTCTTTATTGTACATTTATAAATTGTATCCCTTCATTAAAATTTCAAACAGCAGATCAAATCTTTAAAATGATGGCGTATGCATTGATGCTTCTGCCTCTTCATCGAAACACAGTAATAGCAAGAAAGAATGACAGAAATGCATTTTGTGCTTTTGTAGTTTCCACTTAATTTGCCGGTTTTCTTGGGTACCAATTACATATTAAAATTGTATCTCACTTTCCCAGACTAGTTTTTATTTGTTTTTTGATGCATCACAATATTAAAATGCATTTTAAGGAAGCTAATTTTTAAGTTGTTTAATTTCCCAGAGGCAATGACATTGCAAAGTAAGTTAAATCAGAGTCCAACTCATAATAAGAAAAAGCATGAATGAAATACATAACTGTAGAGAAACTACATAGGGTATACTTTTCTTTTTAAATGAATTTAGAGATTACAATAATTTTCTACATGTTACATTAGTTATTTCAGTAATGTCAAATTAGTTCCAAATACCACTTACCAGAAAATTCCAACGTGTAAGCAATTTTTTTCTAAAATTAGCACAAATATTCAAAATAACATATAACAAAGTAAAATTAGATAATATCCTAATAACAAGTTTACCTTTGCATTATAGGGAATGTAATGTTTTGATAAAGCTTCAGGCGTATGCATCCATGTTTTGTCTGTAACAGAGAAAATGCAGTATTGGATTAAACCACCAATTTTTATGATGCGGTGTTCATACATTCTCACCTGAAGGAAATTTCTACTGGGGAAGGCAGTCTAATTTCTGGAACTTTCTTAAATTAAGAAAGTAACATGTTGTAACTGGAAATGATTAAGATGTGTATTCTTTTCCTACTATAAAAGTCATTCATTAATTTAGTTGGGTGTTGCTATGTAGCCAAGGCTGGCCACAGCAAACTTGCTGTCCTTCTGTCCTTCATGCACTTCTCCTGGTTCTCACTTTATAACAACATGGTGAACCTATAAGCAAAAACAATTATGCAATTTAAGACAAGTGTCTTTCTTCTTTTATTTAATGTTTTCATGCATGCCAAGGTATATTTCATAATTGCCAGATAATAAAAATAATCTGTTCTTTTGTAGTTATGATAACTAGCAATAGTATTTGTGCATTCTAAAGGGAAAATAAGGTAAGGGAGCAACTGCACTTGAGTGAAGTTGAAATACATCAGTTGATTATGTTCATGGAAAACAATAGGCTATTAGGATTACCCTTGTTTTAAATTTAGGAAAGCAATAGTTGAAGGTCTACTTTCAGAAGTTTTGAAAATGAATAATGTTAAGTGTATTGATTGGAAATGGTAGACAAATGTAATGAAATATCAGAAAAAAAGTAATTCCATAAAGGATATGTTGAAGGAGAGGGGCATTCGCTCAGCAGTTAGAGTGTTTTCAGGGCACACATGAGGACCTGAGTTCAGATCTGTAGTATCCATGTAATAGCTGCCCCACAGCACTACTTACTGAAGCACTGGGGAAGCAGAGGCATCTGCTCTAGATAAAGTAATGAGCTCTGGATTCAGTGAGAGACTGTGTCTCAAAAAATAAGGTGGAGAGTCACTGACAGAGACCCCAACATCAACATCTGGCCCACATACATACATGCAAACACACAAACGTACACATGCACAAAGACAGATTTTGATACCAATGTGTACTGGATGCTGCTTACATTTAAATCATCTATATTTTCATTCAATGTTGTATTTTACTTATATGTTCCATGTAACTTCCCAAATATTCTGGTGAATGTTTATGGGGATAAAGTAATCAAGGTTTACATAGTACAAATTCATCATCATTATTACCTTTTGCTTACATTTGTTGGGGGTAAGTCTTTTAAATATTTTAATATACTTTATTTCTATTAGTTAAGTTTTATGTATATATTATTCCTCAGAGGACCTTAAACTTAGAATCAATGTGACAAATAGAATAGAGTTTAAAAAAATGTGTCCTTTTTGTTTTGTTTTTCTAAAACAAGGCCTCACAATACAGCCCAGGCTGGCCTGGAATTCACTATGTAGACCAAGCTGGCTTCAAACATGCACACATATGTATACACTCATGCGCACACACACATATACACACACACACACATGCACGCACACTTGTACACATACATCATATATACAAATAAATTTGCTGGGACTGGTGGCTCATTCCCGTAATTCCTGAACTCAAGAGGCCAGGTTGGAGATGACTATAAGTTTGAGGGATGGCCTGGGCTACATAATGAACTGCTACACAACTTGACTACAAAGTGAGACACTGTCTGACAAAATTAAGAACACTTTAAATTAAGTATTGCACACTGAGACAGTAGAAACGTCAGAGATTTATCTTTAAGAAATTTAAAAATATATACAATTTCTCTTTTCATCTCATTACACAATTCATCTCATGCCACTTCCCAGGATGATGTAATGTCAGACTGTCAGACAACAAAATGTCATGAGAGTTCATCCCTATCCTGAAGAAGAAAGAGCAGAGATTCTTTCTTCAAGTCATTACCACTGGAAGACTAGAGCTCCTGTCTGTCACTGTCTCAGACTCAGTAACCTAGAGAGAATGTAGGCACACAGGTGTTCCTATAGACAGGATAACATGAACATAATATGATTTTTCTTTCTTTGCTGTCAACTTGATTGGACTTGGAATCACCCAGTGATTCCAAATATATCCTAGTGTATTTCAGGGACTTTCCAGAGAGGTTGAGCTCCAAGAAGGATGCCCCACCCTAAAAGTGGTCACCAGCCTCTTGCATGTTTAAAGAGAAACAAAAGAGAGATAGATAAGCCCTGGTGCTGCCTCTCTTTTGCTTCCTAGTCCATCAAGATGTTAGCTTCCCAACCACACATGTCCACTACTGTGAATCTCAAGCCTTCTCACACATAATGGAACTCCCTCCCCAGACTGTGAAGCAAAATAAATCATTCCATCCATAAGCTGCTTTCAAATTTCATTTCAACACCATATCAAGAAATGTAACTATACATATATTAAATTTCCAGTGGATAAGCTGCAATTCCTAAAAAAAAAATCGGTATTCCCACAACATCCAATATGATAGTTTAGGGGTTGTCTACCACACATAAGTTTATTTTTTAGGTAGAGTGTTTATAAAACTTGAAAGCTTTCTAAAGAAGTTCTTAGTACCAGCCAAATTTATATGCTGGCAAAAAAAAAGAATAAACTATTGGTGTTAACTCGTGGATGTTGTTAGTCCTGGAGAGGGGAGTGAAGCTGCTGGTCCTGGTCACCACGTCTAACCACAGAAGCAGTAAGATAATGAGACTGTTGTAGAAATAGGAACACAGATATTTTCGACCATGTCCACATTCCTTCCAATTATACTAAAATCACTTACTCAAATTGAACAGGCACATGAAAGGAAATGCCAACATTTCAAAACACTGACAAATGCCAAACCACTCCAATGTTAACTCAACAAATATAGGCTGTATTTAGATTAAGATCTTATCAGGAAAGATGTAATAATTTCATTATTTTTATACAATGACAGCTAAACATAACATAAGAATAGCATCTACTTCTAGTATATTACATTTAGTATGAAATGTTGCTGAGTTAATGGATATAGAATTAAAATTTCCATAAAGAAAATAACTCTTAATAATTTTTGAATGCCAAACACTACAATTATATTTACTCATCAAAATGTCAAATGATAAGTTAAAGAAAACAAAAGTGAAATCAGCCACATTTATTAACATTTTTTTGTTGTAAGATTTATTTTTTAACACAATTTGAATTAAGCAATTAAAAATGCTTACAGAAAAAAGCATAAAATAACAGCAATCATTAAAGTCTAACCTATGATTATGATGTTAGTTAGCTTTTAAGAAGTTTTTCAGAATAGCTCAGAAGAATGAGATTCCCATCTATGCAGCATTTTCTCTGTCTCTGGACAGCCTTAGACATTAATGCCTCTCTATAAAGAGCATCACTGAAGGGGCTAGAGCTAAAGAAAGGAAAGATAACATCTGTGTTTGGGTATGAGGTGGTCATGGCTTTACCTGTCACTCCTGAACCAGTTAATGGGATTGTGTGCATTGACCAAGTAAACTAGATATCTGTGAAATAAGAAATGGACTCTTCCTGATAGAGGGCCTTTTTGTCTGTTTAAAATACTATGCATAGTACATACTGATACTAGTTAGTGAAAAGAACACTTGAATTAGATAGTCTCCCAGTATGGGATTGTTACTCCAGATATCATAACTTGAATTCTCTCATAAAATTGAAGTTTTCCACTTCAAACTAAAATCCTAAACATAATGCTATTATTTTTTTCCAGCATATACAAGTATATTTTATTATATAACAAACAGCCACAAACTCACCACCCTATAGGAACAAACATGACAGATTCTAGAGGGGAACATCTCCCAGGGCAGCTTTGATGAGACTTCATCAGTGTCCACAAATAAATGATCCCTGTTAATCATCTTCTTTGCTAAGGAAGTGAATCCACCACGTCAGGCAAGATCTGGTCTCTCCCTTTTCCCCTCTCCTGAATAACCCTTCACCATTTGATAGGAATCAAAACAGCAGGTAGTAAGTGGAAGGGGAAGGCCCTACTGGGAACAGAGAGAAGAGGCTCAGACTCCCTTTCCTGTGAAGACTTTCAGACCTGAGCTGAGGAAGGGCAGATTTCCTACTTAAATGAAGCTGTGAAATTTTCTTTAAAGCATTTTAGGGGATTATGCCTTTTTTAACTGTTAACTCAATGACTCAAAATGATTTGCAGACTTTTTCATGGTTGAAGAATGAACAGAGGGTTGGGTATGTATCTCCACTGATAGTGTGCTTTTCTGGAATGTATGAAGGCCTAGGTTCCATCCAGCATCCATAACACCAGGTGTGGTAGTGTAAGACTATAATCTCGGCATACACTGTTCTTGTTTAACAGCAGGGGCAGACCCTCTGTGAATTTCTCTTTAACACATAATAGTTACAACTGATAGTCAAACTTAAGGTAAAACGTCTGGTGTTAAGTTCTCATCTAGAGGCAGAACAAAATACTGATCAATAATTTCCTGACTAGGATAATCATAAAACTCAAAAACCAAGTGAAGGAGAAGAAAGTTGGGGAACAATAAAGCAGTGCAGGAAATCACAAGTATCTGTATTTCCGATTTACCCAGGGCTGTCATACCACTGTGCACACATGTGTCAAACTCATGTTCCATTGAATTTGAATGTGACCCTTGAGATTTGTCAATGAAAACCAATACAAGATGGGGATTTAAAGCATTGAGTAAGACAACTGGAATCAGATCTATGTATATAGCAAAGTCTGGTCCATGTGAACCAGCTGATGAGTTGTGACATAAGTATTTTACTTCAGACACTTTGTAGCATTGTAGGGCTGTTTCTAGACTCTGCTACTACAGAAAGTAAACACCATTTCTCTTTTAGTGGGTTTTAAATCAGAAGCAAGTTATAGACATCAAACAATGTCACATTGCTTCCTTTAATTCAGAATAACAAATAAAATAATTATTCCAGATTTCACAGGTTTGAACAGTGTCTTAAAGTTCACATTATGTAAATTTCCACTGAATACACTAGTCTCCTATACCACATCCAAGTGTTTGCACCTCTTATATGACAAACAGTAATTAAATAATACCATTACATCTTCACAAATTCATTAGAATCTTTTTCTTCATTAAATCAATGGTCTTATAGTTTACACTTACTTGCCCATCATTACAGTAAATGCCATGCCTGAAAAGATAGCCTTTCAATTAAATAATGAAAAACAGTACTCATGGCATACAGGGAATTCTCAACTATACTTCCTGAGAAAGGGTTAAAGTTACCCCCACTTTTATATCTGGTCTGGTCATGTTGTATGTGTCACGGCATTCTTTGCTCATTTTAGTTCCATTAGTGAAGTGCTTGGCTGGCATGCATGGAGCCTTGAATTTGTCCCCAGCACCTCATAAACAGGTGCAATGGTACATGCCTGTAATCCCAACACCTGCATCATGGAGGCCAGATGATGAAAGTTAAAGTTCACCCTCCTAGGCCAGAAAGGGATGCCTGAATCCTAGGCTAATCAAAGAGAGAGTGGAGTTGGGTAGAGAATACTTCAATTAGCTTCACTAACATAAAATACAACGTTAATGATGCAGTTGCTAGTTTTGGGCTATCTATTGTCCATACGTTAAATAATCTCAGTTGTTTTTACTATTGGGTCACTTTTTATTACTTAAGACCCTTAAAGTCAACTTCCAAAACTGTATATAGATAATAATGCAATAATTAGATTTTCTATACCCTTCTTTGGCAGTTTACAATACCTACCTAAATTTATAGTGTAGAATGCAACCTATACTTACTTATCTATAATCTTATCATAGATTTCAAATCATTTTATTCTATGCAATTTCACATTATAGCATATAGTTGCTAGAGAACATATAATATGTTCATATGTGTTATGAACTTAGCATACTAAACCTATACTTTAATTAGGGTACAATTAACATGTATTAATAAGTAGTTCTTGCAGATATAAATTGTTCTAATAAAACTCTATTGGCTTGATAAATAGGAAAAGCTAATGTCTTATTTCTTCTTTATTAATAATATTGATTTGACTCCCAAGTTCTCTTACCTTTCTTCCTGCTGAAAGCACGGTTCATGATGTGGATCCTCCCAACCGTTCAGCTCAGTAACACTCAGTATCCTGTTAAAAATCAAATGAAGCATTGTTGACCAACATCCTCTGTGTTTACAACAGTTTTGGTTTGCTTTTTTGAGAAAAAAAGTCTTGCTATGTAGCCCAGTCTGGCTTCAAATTCAGGATAGTCTTCTTGCCTCAGCCTTACAAATGCTGGGATTATGGAATACACTGCCACACTCAGTTCTTACTGTATTTTAAATTACAGAGCCTTTAAGAAATGTTAAATACTCAACAAGCAATTGTCTACCTAGTCCCACAAGGCAATAGATAAAGATAAACATTATGTAATGCTATGAGGGACAGAGTTAAGTGCAATATGTCAGTTCAAAGTCTTTCAAGGCATGCATATTGTTTGTTATATTCATCTGTAAAGTTAAGGAAGAAGGTTACTTTTCTTCTGAACTTGTTGAAAACAAATGCAATCAATTTTTGGAGTTCTCTTTAACAACAGAAATAGATAGGAAAAAAATTGTACTTGTAAAAGCAAAATAATTTTATAAATACATTCACACATATAATAACTTGTAATGGACTTTTCATTCTGCAAAAGGGCTGTCAAACTGAGACACTTCATTTTATTCAGCTAATGTTTGCATGTTTAAAATTACTTCTAGATACCTTGTCAGTGATACTGCACATTAACAGTTTATAAGGAAGTTAAGGTTAGAATCTCTATTTGGAGTTTCAGGAAGAATTAAGTTTAGGGATGAACGTGGAAGGAGTGTTTTCTTTAAGAGGCAGACACTCTCGAACTGATGTTACATTGGTCTTTACGTTTAGTAAAATTTAGTTAATGCTGCCAGAATATTTCTAGGTAACTCAAAAGACATTTTGGAATTGAAACACACTGTTCTTTCATAACTCACATTGCCATTTTTACCATTACTTCAATCATATGAAATTAAAGTATCTGTTTAATAAAACATTAGCTGAGCAAAATGAATTGTCTGAGTTGGACAGCCCCTTTTGCAGAACAAAAAGTCCCCCAGCCAAGAGACTGTATGTGTGAATGTATTTATAAAATAATTTTAGTTTTAAAAGCATGTTTTTCCCCCTGTCTATCTCTGTTGTTAAGGAGATAAAACTGACTGCATTTGTTTTCAACAAGTTCAGAAGAAAAAAAACCTTCTTCCTTAACTTTACAGATGAATATAACAAATATGCATGCATTGGAGGACTTTGGGCTGACATATTGCACTTAACTCTGTCCCTCATAGTACCACACAATGTTTATCTTTACTATCTTGCATGACAATTCTGATCACAGGAATCAATGGGAGTTCATATAACCATATTGTTATGATTATGGTAACTAGATGTAGATTTAATATTAGAACTTGTAAAATGGTACTGTATTTCATTTTTACCCTCGTGATTCCATTTGGAATCAACGTTCCAGGAATGGTTTTGAAATATTAAAAACTGATTAAAACACACATGAGGTTAATAGATGAAAGTCACTTTAAGATCTTGTTGTTCACAAAGAGGATGCCATTATAATTAAATGTTGTTTAATTCAATATTCAATATAGGTAGCAAGGTAAAGTTGGAGAAATACAAAACAAAAGCTCCTTTTTGAATAATAAAGATACATTTCAATTGTACTCGCGAGTCTTTTACACATTTGTGAAAATGCAAGTCTGTGAAGCAGTTGTTAGAAGATGCCACGCAATCTCAGACCCTGAATTAATTCCACACTCCAAACTGATAAAAAGCAGGTACTAGAACTATTGGAACCGGCTACTGAGCAAAGGGTAATAGCATCTACATCCTGTTAGCATAACACAGCCTGTTTGGGATGCTTGTCTTGATGCAATTAGTGTCTGTTGTAAAGGTTCTCTGCTGAAATCCCCCAACAGTGAGACATCTTAGAATAATCTTCATATTTTATGCCTGTATGTTGTAAGCAGCTTTACACTTATAGATAGATCAAATCTAAGTGACAGCAAGAAACAAAACAAAACAAAAAACCAAACTCGGTGTGCAAACAGAAACCTCATGCTACATGACAAGCCAGGTAGTACTGCAGTGTCCTGTAAACTCCATAATTGGAAATACATGTATGCTTATCACCTGCTTCCTCTAGCACAGGGGTGACCTGGACCTGATTACATTCATAAAAATATTTGCTATTTCCATAGACATGTTTTGGGACATTATATAGGATGCACTACAAGTCTATCAAGATAAAAAAAACAAGTTACACAGGGTCCCTGCTTCCAAATTCTTACCATATTTGGAGGTAGGAGAGAGTGGGCATGGGACTCTGTGAAGAGGCAGAAACACAATGAAAAATGAGCATGCAAAGATGCAGCATGAGGTGACTGTCTTGTTCTGGGGAAAGCCTCAGAAAGGATGTGAGTAGATAACTTCCCAGACCGTCAAAGGCTGAAGTGTGGAAAGAAATGCCTGACTCTGGCAGAGGGGTAAAATGTGGGTGGCACTTGGTGATTGTGTGCATGGAGCTCCTAGCCTACCGCGAGCCTTTAGAGCACCTCCTGCCCCTCGCCAGGCCTCTGTTTCAGCATGGTCTGCATCAGTTGGTGAAGCACAGAATGGACTAAGAGGCGCATCTTTGTTCTTGGTTTAGTTAATCAAAAAGAAAAGTGATAATATGTACCCTATCCTTCCTGTCATTTAAATTCACGAGTTTAAATGGCCTTATTTCTTTTCTTTTTTATTTATTTATTTTATTTATTTATTTTTTATTATTAAAAGATTTTCTATTCATTTAACATATCAACCAAAGATTCCCTTCTCCTTGCTCCTCCGGCCCCCCAACCTGCCCCCCAACCCATCCCCCATTCCCACCTCCTCCAAGGCAAAGTCTCCCATGGGGTGTCGGTAGAGCCTGGTACATTTAGTTGAGGTAGGTCCAGGCCCCTCCTACCTGCACCAAGGCTGCACAAAGTGTCCCACCACAGCCATGAGGCTCCAATCATGTACCAGGTCCCACTGCCTGGGACCCCCCTAAACAGTTCAAGCTCAACATCTCCCTCACCTATCCAGAGGGCCTAGTTTAGTACCATGGGGGCTCCTCAGCTATTGGTCTACAGTTCATGCATTTTCACTAGTTTGGCTGATCATCTCTGTACATTTTTCCCATCATGATCTCAATGTCCCTTGCTCACAGAATCTCTCCTCTCTCTCATCAATTGGACTCCTGGAGCTCTGTCTGGGATCTGGCCATGGATCTCTGCATCTGCTTCCATCAGTCACTGGATGAGGGTTCTATGATGACAGTTAGGGTGTTTAGCCATCTGATCACCAGAGTAGGTCAGCTCAGGCACCCTCTTGACTATTGCCAGTAGTCTATGTTGGGGTCATCCTTGTGGATTCCTGGGAACTCCCCTAGCACCCTGTATCTCCCTATTCCCATGATGTCTTCATTTACCATGGTATCTCTTTCCTTGCTTTCCCACTCTGTCCCTGTTCCAGCATGAGCCTCCCGTTCCCCTATGTTCTCATCCCCCATCCTGGGGTGAGAACAGTTTCTGTTCTAAGAGGATTTTGGTAAGGCAAATCAAAAGTCATTTCCACAGCTGTGACTCTCGGATTGTACAATAAGATCTTGAGCCAATGCTGGCATATCACAAAGGCTGTGTAGTTATCCAGTGACTAGAACACTGTGCTTGTTCTCTGGTATCAGCCTGGAGGGGCTCCACCACTCAAGTCTCCAGGTGAAGACTTTTATGGGCTCCCACGTCCTTAGGACCAGAAGTAACACACAATTGTCAGAGAAGTCTCTTTCCTGCCAATGTAAACTTGATCCTCACACGTGTACTTCAGTGTCTGTGGTATCCTGAGCTAAGGTTCTCAGGCTCTGGCTATGTTTCAGTAGTTACACATTGAGGTTTTCATTATGATTCTTTCCAATGTCAATTAAACTATTTTCTTCCTAGGTTTTCATTATGATGTTGTGTCCTTAATAAAAGTCAGCTGTGTAATTAAAATGGGATAATTACACAGAAAATAATATCACTAAGAAAAATATTCTCGAAGACTAATAAAATATTTAATAGAAAACACAATTGTCTGTGCTGAAATAAATATTTATCACATACTTGACTTGTGTAGATTGGGGAAGACCTCAAACGGGATGTTTCCTTTTGAACCACAAACTTTGTTCTTTGCAGAAATCCCAAGCAATACTAAATCTACTTTAAAAAAATCACGGCTATTTTATTGCAACAGTGTGCATGCTCCTGTGCTCTCATCCTTATTTCAGCTATACAAAACATACTATAATTTATTAAACCTGCAGCCTTGGTCATTTCACCAAATGCTTCCATATCTGTATCCAAATAACTGAGAACGGTGGGATTCAACTACAGAAGTAGAGCTATCTTTTGCAAAACATCCTGAATTCTTCTGAAAGACTAGATTTAACAGAATGGTTGCATAGTTAATGCTGTTAGAGTTTAAAACTAAAGACTATAGATTTCTAAGACTAAACTATGCATTCTATTTAATCTCTACCCATAAAACAATAGTATAAACTCTGTATTCAGTTTCAAATATTCCATGTGTCACTGGGGTGCTGCACTTGAAAGGAAGTTGATATTTGAATCTTTTTCCTTGGTAAAAGTGTTGATACACTGGCACTTGGACAACAGGCACAGTTTTTAAATTACACTAAACATTTAACTTAATGTTAAAACTCAGTAATGATAAATATGTCTGAACTTACTTCTTTAATCATTTTATAGATATTTTAATGACTTTTGTTTAAGATAAACAGAAGAGATTACTTTTTAAATTTAAATATTATAATCATTCTTCAATTTCTTTGAAATTTCTCTCTTAATTTAATAGAACCATTTTATCATAATCAGCTCACAAGAACATTACACAGCAGAATGACTGTTATAACTATATAGCAGTTCACTGAGATGTAAAGAACTTGGGTCTGGGCAAAGGTTTGAGATTACTTTTTGCCAGCTTTCAAAAGGGCCCCACAAAACATATCTTGTCCAGCTTAAGTGGGTGTCCAGAATAATGAA